GAATGAATGTTACTTTGTAATAGATTTCAACCGGTGTACATCAATGAAGAAAGAGCAGGGGGCACGTCCTGTTCCATTTATTAGGCATTTAAGTGGCGCTTTGGTATCTAAGTGGACTCCTATTCAACCCCACTTGAGTCCCTGAAAAATCTATATATGTGTTTACTTTTGTAACATGCCTTTGTCTTAGGTTAAAGACTAAAAGTCACTACAAATAGACTACCCACCCAACAGTTGCCTTATGGATTTGCAGGGACTTGAGTGGGTGAGAGAGATGTGGATCTCAACAGCACTCTGAGGAATACCACAAAAGCTGCATAGACATGCCATAAAAAAGCCACTTCTGTTTGTTCTGGTTGTAGGTGTGCATGTGTCTGAGGGGAGTCAGAGGGCTGTTTATACTTTGCTGTTCTGTGGTAATTTTTCTTCTTCCTGTCTTCATATTCTCAAGTAGTTTTTTAAAAGCTGCATGCAGAGGGAGACCCTTGCATGAGCATACAGAAATTCACTCCTGTGTATATTTTTTTCTTAAATATCATACTGAGTGTTTGAAAAGCTCCTCTTACTGAAACTTAGTTTTTCACATTACAATTAAAAATGTTTCCATTTTAGTCATTCTCTTTTCCTGCACTCTGCTATATTACTTTTCTATCATATTGTAGTTGTTTTTTAATTGCATGGTGCTCTCATAATGAGCCTCTGGCTTGACTAAATATTGCTGCTATGGAGTTTCAGTATCCAGCTGGTTTCAGAGGCTACCATGGAAGAGAGACTGTGATGTCACAAAAGCTTAAGTAAAGCCAGGCTTAAATGCTCCAAGAAAAATCAATTTTCTACATCATATTTTCCAGATGAATACTGAAGGACAGGTCTACCACCTCAGAAGAAAGACTTAAAGGAAAATGAGAAATTTAAGAACCTTGTAAAACTATTTCAAATCTCCCTGCAATATAAGCAAAGCTGTAAATAACACAGGCGCTGACAAATACCAGCTACACATTCAAACAAAATCTTTAACAACCACAGCAACAAAGAATTCGCTACTGTTTACAGCCACCCTGCCATATGGAAGCTGTCCTGTGGTCCAACCCAACACAATTTTACACACTATTCATCTTCCATTAAAATAACTGTTATTTCCAATTTCAGCTCAAAGAACCATGAGGTTGATTTAATGTGCAAGATTGCAACATGCTCTGAATAAGCAGTATTTCCATGCTGGACTTCATGCTTTGGTATTGATAGGCACCAGTTTGAGCATTCAGATGCAGGTGTTGGACATCACAGAACATAGGGGTCATTTAGACTCAAAGGTTTGGTTTGGCAATTAGAGAGAGAAAGAGATGTCCCAACTGCAAAACAGAGATCAGGATTTGGTATTCAAATACTGTCACAATCCCAGAGCTTTCAAAGCCAGGTTTGGGGTTGAACCCTTCTCTAGGGTTATGTAAAAATGATCAATTTGGCAGACTTTTTGGCTCTGTGACTCCTTCCTATGCTGACTCCTATGAATGTTATATGGTTCAAATTGCCTTAAATAATGATAAGGGTCTGTTTTGTGGTTAATGTCTCTAAAGTAATTCTTCTGAGCAGCAGGTTTTTTGAGAGAAGCTGAATGGTGGATTAAGGATGGGACAGGGAAAAAAACTGCTTTTTGTAATCAGCAGTAGATATAGTTCTGTAATATTTGATTGAGAGAGAGAGACAGCTGCAAACCACATAATAAGAGGCAACAGTTGCACAATCAAGTCTTTACTTAAATAATAAAAGCTTGCAAAGAAGAGGAATGTTACCGGCTCACTTCACCCTGGTGTAAACTAAAATTCTAGGAGTTATTTCATCATTGTACTTGGCCTTTTGACTTAAACTTTAGGAAACTAAATTGTTTGCACAGCTGATGCCAGTTTTACAAGGAGGGACGGTAGTAGGCTTTAAAGGGAGGTATCCAGGGCTATTGGAAGGCAAAGCAGGTGCTGAAGTGTGTCTGAGGTGAGCTTTGAAGCCACAACACTTGGACCATGTGTAGCTCATTCTTCCTTTTACTGTAGGAGAACAAGAAAATCGTATTTGTTGGAACAGGAGATTTGCAGAGAAGGCATTCAGGTTTCTTATGAGAGGAATTAGCCAGTGCAACGGGATCAGACTACACCTATTGGAAAAGATTTCAGTACTGTTGATGCAATGTTAAAGCTCTAAGCATGCACAGAAGTAGTCAGTTTGAGAACTTTCTAAAAGGAGTGAATTCATGAACTCGTGACCTACTTAGACATGATGAGCATGTTCAGATATGAGTGTGAAAGTGGTGGGAAGACCAAGAGAGGTTTCTGACATAAAAGTAAGAGACAGCTTTGAGTGACAGAAATCAGAAGTTATAGAAGTACACTGCGGAGGGGCTCCTGGGTGCTCTGTGAGAGTGACTAGACCACCCCAAAACTGAGTTCGTATGTGTTTTGAGAGAGCAATTTTGGGTCCATGTGTGGACCTCTGCAGATCTGTATGCTTGCTTAGCTCCTGTGAGAGTAGTCAGACTACTCTAGGATCAACAACACCCTCCTAGCCACCATGGATGTTACCAGCCTATATACCAACATCCCACACCAAGATGGCATCCAAGCCTGCCTTACATATCTACAAGAGCAAGATTACAACTCAGAGTACAGACCCAAAGATATTACTGACCTTGTACACTTCATCCTCACACACAACAATTTCAATTTTAATAACCAACACTTCCTCCAGACCATGGGCACAGCTATGGGCACCAAAATGGCCCCACAATATGCCAACCTTTTTATAAGCCACCTGGGAAAAGAATTCATCAAGGACTACACCATCAAACCCTTGTTATACTTAAGATATATCAATGATATCTTCATCATTTGTACTGAAAACCTGCAATCTCTGATTGAGTTCCATCAATTCAACAATCACCATCCCTCTATCCAACTATCTCTTAACAACCCGCGGGAGGGCCGTGGCCGCTGAGGCGAGCCCTCCGCTGCGGGGTCAGTCCAGGCGCTCGGCTCAGGGGGGCCACGGCACCAACATCTCCTTTTTAGACATGATGATCAGCATCCATAATGGCAAAATACAGACCTCATTATACCTGCACAGAACCAGCAATCACCCTAAACACCCGAAATACCGGAAATACCAGATATACAGCCAAGCCCTCAGATACCACCGAATTTGCACCTCACCAATCTTAAAAAGGCTTCCACCCAACAAGGACACTCCTCCAGAGACAGAAATAGCACATTTGAAAGAGCCACCCAGATACCACAGGAGGAATTGCAATAGTACAGAAGAAAACCCCCCATGAATCTCACACTGCTGGTTATGACATATCACCCCTCCGTCAAACCCATATGGAAAATCCTGAAACAGTTGCAACCCATACTAAAAAGAGACCCAGTCTTAAAGAGATCTTCCCAGAGCCACCCATCCTAGCCTT